CCTCCCCTACGCTCTACCTCCACACTACATGCCTCAGTGGAGCTGGCCCATCCCCAGGCAGTGCACCGAGGAAGCCAGTAAGACTAGGCATGGGGTACATGCCCATAATCCCAACTCTGGGGAGGCTGAAAACAGGAGGAAAACTATGAGTCTCAATTGTACAGTGAGACCCTGTACCAAATACATTTTTAAAAAGATAATAATACACAATGTATTAACTATTGTTATTCTATTATTTTGTTTTAAAATTGTTTTATATTTTTCATAAAATAAAAATAAAACAATAAATCACAAGGTTTCTCATACATTAAATAAAAATGTACATCTAAAAACATAACTTGTGAACTCCTTTTAAGTGACAGCAAATTCTAGACTCATTATTTTTGAATAGTTAACTCCCTAAGCACTAATAGAACTATAAATATTAATTTTGGGCAAATGACTTAGGAAATTAAAGTGTTTTGATGGTCTCTGAAGAAAACCTATACATCAGAAGATAATATAATTCTTAGGGGGAATATGTAATATAATAATACAATAATTGTAACAGAATATAATAAGTATTTTTTGAAAAATAAATCAAACATTTAGAAAGTTTTAATGTGGTTTTCAAAATGGTCACCCCTTGTTTTAGATTTATTTAAGATTAAGAAAAAATGTCCCCTTGACATATAACATCTTTGCCCAACTTTGAATACATGATTAGCTTACATAGTAATTTATACATTAGCTTTGTACACATTATGAAAAAAAACTAAAGAATAAGTATCTCCTATATTAACAAAAGGCTAACTTTCCCTTGGAAATACATTCTTATACACACAAAATTGAATTTTCAGAATTTCTGAATTTTATTGTGTAAATTGTCATCAACAATATAGCTTTCAGTTAATCAAAAGTTTCTTTTCTCAAAGTTCATAACAATTCAACAGTTTCAATTTTTCTAAATTAACTATTCTGAAATTTACCACTTTTCACTTTTTCCCACCCAATATACAATACACTGCAGATCGCTCAAACCAGCCACAACAACATACTTAAGACCCAAAATAAAAATATGGGGCTGGCAAGATAGCTCAGGGAACTAAGTGCCTGCTTTGGCAAGCGCAGGGACCAGGGTTTGATCCCTGGTCTAGCATACAGCATGCCACGCTAGCCCCACCCCACCCCCAGAGCACTCTGAGCCTGTGAATGAGTCTGGGCATAGTGGCACACACCTGTAATCCTAGCACTGGGGAAGATGAAAACAGGAGGATCACTATGAGTCCGACCTG